AGGTAAGGTCTCTCACCTTACTATCATGGTATTTTTAGGTCCTTAGAGGTAGGATATATAACACGGAAATGTTGGAGGGACTGCAAGTGCCAAATAACCACACTCAGATTGGTAAGCGGGCGCAATTGCTTGCAGTGCCTCGAGCGCGTACACATTTACTCTTGTATTGCCCATCCTGAATATTATTGCATGTGAGACGGATTTAGTTGCACACTGGCAGAATCGCCAAGCATTGCATTATTTATAATTAGTAATAAAAAGGTTTAAGTTTTATGTTTCCTTGTTTTGTTTATATTATGTTAAAGTAATCGTAGAAAATAAAGAAATAAATTTAATATTTAAACAAATTATATCTTTTGCTTCCAGGATTTTAGTTGAAGAAAATTATTGATTGTCAAAAATTACATATAAGTTTGTGAAACTTGTAACTGCAGTAAGCTTATTCAAGCACAAATAAAAACCACATAATATTTAAGATAATTTATTGCCTAATTAAGAGAAACACTATGCTAAATCAGGGATATCACCAATCCACCAGAACACTAAACTGTTTTCGGACTCTTTTGAATATTTCATATGTTCAATTCTTTGGTACTCTATTTCATCATCATTTTCTCCATCCATAGTAGTTGGGTCTACTAAGTGATACTGTCCGGAACCAGTTGCCAATATGGGTCTACACGGGTGTATAGAAATACTATTACAGCAATCTCTGTGTAATGGAAACTGAAAAAATAGACTTATTCAATAAGTAGCAAAGATATATTTATGTGAAGTTCTAGACATTAATTGTAACATCCATGTAATGAAACTGTCAATAAGACAACAAGCTTGGACCTCAGATATAACTTAAGGTACACACAAAGATAATTTGTGCATCATTATAAATAATTTAATATTTAATCATTTGAAATGAGATTACAACAGCTCTTACTTAATACGAGTCTGAACAGATAAAAAAATTTTAAATATAAGTAGCTTCTTTCCTTGTATTCCACATACAAGAGAGCAAAATAAAAAAAGTTTTATCTGTAATTCAATAATTAAACATGTTAAAAATACTTTTAGAAGCCACTCACTTGAAAAGTAACATTATCCTTCTCATCCATGGCGTCCAATTCTTCTTTCCAATTAATTTTATTCACATCCCATACTTTTATTACACCATTAGTACCACCAGTTACCAAGTAGTTACCACATGGTGATACATCAAAATATATCCTTTGATTTGTCTCAACAATTCGGCTGAGAATGTTAAGAGGTCTGCGATAATATCTTATATCCCATACTAGCAATCTGTGGTCCTTACGGGCCCCTGATATTAATTTAAGACCATCAGATGTAAATTTCATGTGAGTTATTCCACCTGAAATATATTAAAACCTAAGATATAGTCTATGCAACTTGAAAAAGTACTTGAGTGGTTGAGGAGAATTTCTAGTTAAGAGTTAGGTTAGGGTAGGATGTAATAAGTTAAAGACTAAAACATGAAAAAGTTCAATTTTCCTTACGTTTTAGTGCTGTTTTTTAAATGGCATCATCTATTATAATAGAGCCGGAAGAATATATACCTGAGTGACCATGCATTTTTCCTATACTTTTGTATGTGCCCATTTCATTCACATTGTATAATGAAATACTTGTATTCCATGATCCTACTGCGAGCAAGTTACTGTTGGTTGCAAAACAGGAAGCTGGAGAATTTATCTTGTGTTCACTGAATTCTCTGCCAGGCCTGAAGGTAAAAATTTTAGATAATATATTTTACACTATGATATTATAAATATCAGATAGATCTTTTGAAACCAAACAATACAATCAAATGGGATTTGGTTTAAAACCATATAATAAATGTTGATATACACATATGTGTATATTAATATGATTTGAATGAATGTAGTGTAAACCTGTGTAACTGCATCCTTTTTGTTTTAAATTTGCTTAAGCAGTTATTAGTGACAGTTTGGAAACTAAAAAAAATGGTTTGTGCTACCTTGTGTCATTTGTGTTTGTTTGGTATTTGTTACTTAATCCTACTTACTGATAGTTTACTACTAGTCTAATATGTAATTGCATGGGGAAATAATTAAAAAAATATATAATACCTGTCAACATCAAAAGTTCTCAATAATTTTTTATAGCCAGCAATTATCCTGGAGCCATCAGCAGAGAAAATGCATGACACTGCAGGTTCCATTTCATCTACTGCATTGAAACCTCTGTAAGAGCATCTTAAGGAACCATCAAAGGCGTCCCACATTTGTATTGGTGCATTCTGTTTTGTTGTTATCCAACTGTAACACATCTTATCCTACATTGTAATATTATAAATATGATCTGATTTTTAAAATAAAATCCAATTTTGATCCACAAATCATGTTTTTTTAATCAGCTAAATTAAGTCATATTTAACTCACCAACAACTTTCAGGGACTGCACTATTCATACCAGGATACCAACAAAAATCATACATCAAGCCTGCTTCTTTAACATGGATTACTGGTTCTAAAATATCAATAGTTCTATTGGAACTAACGTCGCCCTCGTAAAGATCTCGGGGCAATTCCATAACCTGTACTCCATCATTATTAACCACACACAAACAGCATGTACCATCTGGAGACCACTTACATCCCCTTACATATGGCTGTGTACTTTCTGCGGTCACATTTTTGGTATGGCACCATGATGTGCTGCATAGTTCAACTAATGTTCTATTTGTAAACAATGCCGGGTAGGATATAAGATCTTCAGAATGCGTTTTACTGATTTGTATGTCATATTCATTTTCGGCTTTAGAACATATCTCATCAACTTCCATTGCATTAAGTAATAAGTTACTAACGCTTGCTTCTAACTGAAGTTTTATTTAGCGTGAATTATTTAGAAATTCAGTTTTAGAAATAACCTCTAAAACATTGAAATTTGAAGTTGAACATAATTATTATAATATATGTAAAGTGTAAACACTCGGACACTGGTCAGTGGCACAGAACACAATTACCTAAAGGAAGAACGACGACTAGGAACAGATTTTAAGATACGCGAATGTATCGCCACCTATTATCAACCCACCCAAAACTACATATGGCGGCAAAAATTTGAATTGCCAGCAGGTCCAGGTTCCCCAGAAATTTATTAATTTCGGATGCATAGGCCATTTCATTTGTAAGAAAACTCAAATGAATGAGTTTTCTCATTCATTTGAGTTTCCTTACAAATGAAATGGCCTATGCATCCAAAAGAACACTAGATATTTAACAAATGATCTTGAAATAAAACAAAAACGTTTTCTCATTGAATTATTATTTATTTCACTTTTATGGATCCTTATTATTATTTGGACACGAAATCAACATAATTTTGTAATGTTCGTAGTCGTGGTTGAATTACCTAGGTAATTCAAATGAAAAGTTTCTTCTCTACAATGAAGGGCCTGCAGATTCTCGGGCAATGTAAGCGCAGGAATGAATACAGGTCTAATCTGTAATTACAAGAATAAATCAAGTCACAGTCCTCATTTACTATCGTAATGTTTTTAGGTTTATGTAGGTAGGCCTACATAGTTCAAACTATTACTCACTATGTTTAAATTATAACAAATTTTGGTTAAATTAAATACAATGGTGAGTAAAGTTCACAACTTACCTCATGCGGAACTGCAGTTCTTAGCAATGATTTTTTAGTGCCATCTGTAAAATCACCTTCGTGGAAGTGATTTTGGCACAGCATCCTGTGCTCAGCATACAGCTTTTTTTGAAAAGCTATTGAAGTGTGCTGTTCATCCGAGGGAAAAAGGTATTTTGCCCACAGGGTGCAGCTGAAAATAAACGGGCATAATTGTAGTAGATATCAAAGGTAAGGAGTAAGAAGCACGTAATTATTCTTGTCAAATTCAAGGCGTAGGTTCCATCGACTAGAACTTGAACTACATTGTATTTTAACCACGACAATTTGACAGTTGTAACAAAGACCAAACGTTGTTGACTGCTTTCTTGGGGAATGCAAAAAAAGTTCCAACGTTGACGTATAGGTTGAAATATTGTCAATCGATTTGATGTGATGTTAACTAAGAAGTTAATTAGTTTAGTACGTACCGCAAAAGATTCCGAACTCCGGGATTTGGAAAACGAAACAAAGAAACGTTTTCCTTTGCCGTGGATTTGCCACACTTCGAACACCTGCGACTGTCTTCTTTTCGGTTTTCTTTAGCGGCCGACATTTTCAGATTTCAAGAGTCACTATCTCGTATTCACTGTGAAGCACTAGAGTCACTATCTCAAAACGGGCACAAAACATAAACGGAGGAATAAAAACTCAACTCGACGTTCGTAGTTTGGGAAAATGACGAAATAGCATGGAAAAACAAAATTTCGGGCCACAACAACACCGACAACACCAACCTTGATGTAAAATCGCCATGTTGGTTTTCTAGGTTCTAGGACAATGTTGCTATTAGAAAATTTATTTAAGCATGAATGTTTATATCTTGACAGTGGCAATAACTGCCCAAATAGGTATTTTATTTCTCCCATACAAAGTTGATCCCCCCCTGGTCAGTGGTCACTGACCCGAAATATTTTTTAATAGACTAAATTATAAAACATTTTCTAATAAAACATTTCTCGGACAGCGATAGTTGACGTTGACACTATACTCGTTGTCAATGCATACAGGTAACTATACTAAGTCTATTGTCATTTGAAATTTTGAGAATGAATTTAAAATTATATTATTTGAGATATTTGCTGAAAAGTGAAAACCTGTAGGAAAACCATTGAACGTTTAAATTGTGAAGAGAAATTATACCGAGCGTATGTTACGGATGTTTCGTTTTATAACAACTAACTAATCTTACGTATTAATAATGACTATCTGCGTGATGTATTGTTTTTATTGGAAATTGTTGTTGGTTTAAAATATAACATGTAAATAACTTTCTAAAGTGCTTTTTCTGTTTATTTGTTTTACAGTTTATAGGAATCGTAAATAAATTGCAGATGAGTATAAGACTAATCAATCGTGGGCTTCGATTCGTGACGAGAAGTTTCAGTAATATGTCGTTCCCTGAATCACCTGCGAAAGCCTCAATATGTTGCGAAGTGCTGGAAGGTGCGCCGCCTACGTATGCTATGTACGAAGCCCTAAAGGATTCCTGTCAGAATAATGCTACATATTTTCAACCTGATGATAGTGAGAATGGTCAACGTTTATACCAAGGATTTATAACTCTGATAGATCACATTGATACTGTATGGCCTCTGGTTGACCACGTGAGAAAGGTAAGAATACTTAACGTATTTTCAAATTACATAAAGCAAATAAATATTATTTTTTATTATATAAAATTACCTTAACTTTTGTTGTAACACTTTGTTTGCTGATTTTTATATAGCACTAAAAAAAGCAATTAATTATGGAATAAAGATTGAGAATTAAGATGATAAAATGTAACATATGTTTTACACATTGAAGTTAATTAGGTCATGGGTCAAAATTTTACGGAACTTATAACTACTTCATAGTGACCTGATTTAGTTGAATTTAATTGGGTCGATGTATTATTAGGCAATTTATTTTTATAGGCTAAAATTAACATTCCAACATATTATTTTTAGGGGAAAGATAAATCCGTGTTTCCATTATAAGGCCACAAGAATGTAGTAAAATAATAACATTATTTATTGTTATGATATTTTGTCGAGTATTTGAAGTTAAATATTTGTAATAAAATTATTTTTCCAATAGGTGGCACCGTCATATGATTTTGATGAAAAATCTCCAGGCAATGGATACAGAAGTTTCGTATCAGTTGTGGATTCCTGCATTCTACATGGCCTTAAACTTAGCAGACAAGTTTGCTCCGGACGGGATGCATTGTTATTTAGAAAAGGATATTTTGTTAAGTATGTATGCTTTTTAAAATGGCTTTTTAATACCTCAAACAAACCTATGTAAATAGTAACCTTTCTAGAGAAGTGGAATCATGTGGACAACTCTTGGCATCACTCGGCACATGCCTTCATCATCTCCACACCTTAATTTCATGGGCACCTCCTGGAGACCTGTTTCCTGTCGAGCCACACTCGCCGGAAGAACTTTTCTCTAAGGCAGACACAATAAATCAGTATTGTTTTTATGGGAGATGTCTTGGTTTTCAGGTATTTAGACTTCAATTGACCTTGTATACTTCTTGTCACTTCGGAGTAGCCTATTTACTTCTAAAGTTAGATGTTATGTTGCCTGACTGAGTACAGCATGCTATAGGAACCTCAAAGGTACCTCAAACTATTGTCTATATTTACGAGTATGGTTTGTAAATTTTTTTAAAGTATATGAACTATATGGATATAAATACAGATAAAGTAAATAACTAAATAAAAATATGTTTACAATTGAATGTGAATTCATAAAATATTTCTGCATTAATTAATATGGTAACACAGTAATTATAAGTACACAGTATCATATTACTCTTGAATAATTGTGATTTCCATACAATAAGGTCACTTGTTTTTGGTTCACTGCTCTCACACTTTTACTCTCGCAGTTTATTTTATCAAATAAATAACATTCTCCCTGACAAACACAGAACCTTCGAAAGCTAACAATAAAAAAATATTAATATAAATAGATAAATTGGTCTTGAAAATGTTACTCCGTCATTCCAGTTCGCCCCATCGATACGCGGGATCCTCAAGGGTATATCGATATGCATGGCTGGCTTCTCGGAAGCCTACTACAGCCAAGGAAATCTGATAAGTTCGGTGTGGACGGGCGGGCAGTACTTGATCGACCCCGAACTCCGGGCCAGAAGGATTGTCAACATATCGCAGTCCGCCAGCGTGGAGTTCTGCAAGGCCTTCTGGTTCCTCACGGAGAGTGGTGAGTTTTATGTCCAAACTTTTTTAAACTACTAACAGAAATATAATTAATTTATCGTACACGTGTGTAAATGTTCGATTATTACCTAAGCTTAATTATGTTAAACACGTGCAATGGTTCATATTAATACCATCATTATTTATATTCATTTAATCGGTATACATAACTGACTCGTAACTGAACTCGTAAACAACATTTGTGATGTTAGGTTTATTTATAATACATTCTAATCCACGCCTTGCCTTTGTGGCAAATAATACTATTTTATTATTAAATCGATCACGTCACGAATCGTTTGGTTCTGTTTCCTGGTTGTTATAACAGACAAAGGATTTAGTAAAAATAATCTGCAAATAAAATCTATCTGACTATAATTTAGAAACCGCTTAATTTCTGCTCATTAAGTAGATAAAAAATGAGCTGTAGTTCCCTAACCTTAACCTTTGTGGCAAGTGGTGACAAAATATTCCGTAATTAAATGAAAATTGCCCATATTTGATTACCTACTATAATAAGGATTAAATTAAGTTTATCTTATGTATTTCATATTGGTACACGACCTCCGATGGATGGAAGACCTTTTCTAAATTCCCCCATTTGTCTCTCATCATCGCTTCTATTTTTCGATCATTCTCCGCTATCTCTTTTTTCCCTAATTACCAATTATGTTTATAATAAATATTGCACAACGAAACATTAATTAGAAATCTGAGAATCGAGAATTGAAAAACAACAGATAGAACTAGATTTGATTGATTTATTGACGATTCGTGTAGTCACTGTATCGAAACGGCGTTAACAGAAATAATGCGGCGAGTGCCGAGTCTGATGTCGACCACGGTGGCGGTGAACAAATTGATAACGATAACGCCTCAGCCCCTCGTGGTGGCGACCGTGGGCGGCGAGGAGAAGACGGTTCTTCCGCCGAACTCGCACATCGGCCTGCACGACCTCAACGTCAGGCTGATCAGTGTCAACAAGAGGAACGGAATGGTGAGTGATTTCACGAAGCACGACTCCGATCACGAACGTTTGTGTTTGTCTTTATTCTACGAGATTCGTTTGACCGTTCCACGTAAATGTCCTCAAATATCTCACGTCTTCCCGGAGAGGAATGTAGAAGTTTGTTTACTCCAGACGAACGAAAGCTCCACTCTTCCGGCGGCGGACGGCGTGATATTCCACTGCCACGGAGGAGGATTCGTGGCGCAGAGTTCCAAATCGCACGAGAGCTATCTGAGGGACTGGGCGGCCAAGCTCAACGTGCCCATTCTGTCCGTAGACTACAGCCTCGCTCCGCAGGCGCCCTTTCCGAGGGCCTCGGAGGAGGTCTTCTACGCGTACTGCTGGCTCTTGAACCACCTCAGAGAGGTCGGCACCACGGGTAAGAAAGAGATAATCTCTTATTTTTTTTTAAATTTTAAAATTATTGATTATTTTTTCAACTTTCGCCAGGTAAAAGGATAGTGTTCGCGGGCGACTCGGCCGGGGCCAATCTCCTCGCGGGCTGCATTCTTCGAATACTGGAGAGCGACATTCGGGTCCCGGAAGGCCTGTTCATGGCCTACGCCCCTCTGCTCGTCAGCTTCATCCCGAGTCCCTCGAGGCTCCTCTGCCTCATGGACCCTCTGCTGCCTTTCGGCTTCATGATGAGGTGTCTCAAAGGTGACAAGACCGCGAGTTGTCAATTGTAATTTTGACTTTTTTGTTTAAATGGTTAAACTGAGACCAATTATTCTTCGACTTGAATCAAATTGTGAAAATGTCACGCGGACGACAACATTACTCGAGTTGGGGCGTTTTTGCGACCATTTACGAAACTACTAATATTTCAGCGTATGCGAGTCCCAATTCGAAGAGCAAAGAAGAGAAACGCCAAAAGGAAGCGACTTCATCGAACGCGACCACGCCCATAGACGGAAACGGCTTCCTCAGAGTGAGCCCCTCGCAGGGTGCGTATTTGCCGAAGCGTCACCTTCGAATTGGCGTCAGGGTCTCGGGTGTAGCCTACGTATGCTTCCAGAAGGCCTCAGCGAGTCCTCGTTCGAGGAGGTGTCTCCGTCGGACCTGCTGGAGCTGCAGGCGCACAAGTCCCAAGGCAGCCAGAGGAGGCACTCCGGAGACACCACGGTCAGCGCCGCTTCGTTGCAGAGCGAGCACACGGCCACGGGTGAGGGTCGCTTCCCCCTCCTTTGCCGTCTTCCATCTGGTGTTAACTTTCATAGTTTTTCTATAACGATCCACGTCCGTCAGGCGTCAGTCCGTCGGAGGAGCGGTCCCAAAAGTGCGTGTCGGAACTGCTGGACGGATACGTGTTCGACAGCGACACTGACAGTGAGGGCCGAAGGATCGATCGTGCCAGGTAAAGGGGCTACGGTTTCCGATTTCCAGCCAAGACCCTTTAGACAGAGAGTACAGACGAGTATTCATTTCAGTCGCGGAGGTGAATCCGAAACTTCGAGCACTCTGGTCGGAGAGCCTCCTCTGGTGGTCGACGGCGAGAGGGAGCCGAAGAGAAAGGGCAAATCACGGTCTCTTCCTCTTTTCGATCAAATCTCGATTAAACTAGTATTGCTATTATAAAATCATTTTATAAATCTAATGAACCGAATCTGTCGAGAAGAGAGGCAACGCAAATTTAGCACGAATGTCCTTCCAGCATCGGTGAGGCGGCGTCGGGCATAATGGGAGCCATGTCGTCCCGTTTCGCCTCCATGAAGGACTCCAACGCCATCTCTGGGCCCACGCAGGAAGAGTAATTGTCATCTTTCTTTTTACCTTTTTAGCTAATTGTCATCAAACTGACTGTCTCACCATTACTCTCGGCTCCGATTTCAGAATGGCAGGGCGGTCGAACCTAGACTCCCTGATAGCCAGGAGTCCCTCGGACGAGTTCATGTTCTCGGTGCCCCGAGACCCCGTCCTGTCCCCCTACTGGGCCGAGGACCGGCTGCTGAAGAGGTTCCCGCCCCTGAGGATTCTGGTGAGGCCGATCGATCCGGTCGATCATTCTGTTATTTGTATATTTTAATAAAAGGTTTTATTAAGCAGTCGGTGCACATGGACCCGTGTCTGGACGACTGCGTGATGTTCGCGAAGAAACTGAAACGTCTGGGCAACGAGGTGGAGATCGACGTCGTCGAAGGACTGCCCCACGGCTTCTTGAACCTGTCTCTGGTGAGAGATCTTCGACTGAACCCTATCGTTCCCCGTCTTGACCTTTCACTGTGACTGTCCACTTTCAGATGGCGAAAGAGGCCAACGACGCATCCCTCCAGTGCATAGAGAGAATAAAACAATTACTGGACGCGGATGCGCTTTCCGCTAACTTATGAACGCGACGGCCTTCGTCTAGTGTTTAGGTTCGTTGCCCTTGGACGCGACGTCGACGTTCCGACGTTATTCTTTCGTTGCGAGTAGTCGATGAAAATGTTGAAGCGAGCGATTATTGCCAAAGGGCATAGAAATACTGAAATCACAAATATGCCGTTTCAGATTTAAAGCTTTCCGAAGACAACAGTTTTCAACAAAATTACAGTAAAACGTTATTTTTAAAAAATTAAAAATGTAACATTCCCTAATTATTTACTAAAGAAATTGAATTCAAAAGCAGATCTATATCTAAATAATAATGGTTGAAGAGTCGATATACAGAGATATAATTATTGAAAGTTATAATAATAGTAATAAGTTATAGAGTATAAAAATTGTCTACGATATTATGTCGAGAGGACCAGAGGGTATAATTAACAATTTCAAAACATAGTCCAACAAGAAGGGAAGGACTTCATTTTTTTTCTCGGCGATTAGCATTTATTAATTTTTTATTGTTCAAAAGTACAAAGAATCTCCATATACATAAATGTTTGTATGAGATTTTTAGGATTACGTATGTTTGGTTATGTAATGGGCATACTAGATTTTAATATCCAAGGAGATCATTCACTATCCAACTCAAAATGCAAACACCATGTGTAATTATGTTTCTTATGCAGTATTTGACTTGATAAGATTTAGGAATACATTTTCTCCATCCTTCATTCGTAACCCATGCATATGTATAAATTACTAAATACTTTGGGATGCTTGGTTAGATTAAAATTAACTATTAGTGTTGTTTTTTCTGTCAATTGCTAAAGGGTTAATACAAGTTTAATTGAAAACCTTAAAAAGAAATGGATTGAAGTTAAATTACTTGGACAATACACAAGACGTGGTCGACGATGCAATTTTAACGTACTTAAAGTTAAACGAACAAGGTGTAAAGGATTGTCGAAGTTGAATTAACCTTAGATATATCTTACCAATACACACAAATTATATTTGTCTTATAAATATGCCTAAATAATTTTGCCGCCTCTTTAAAATAAGCTACTGTAAGTCACCTCTCAGGTAGAATTCCTCCTTTTTGATTGATACATAATATTATTTATTATTAAATATGTTCTGGAACAACATTGTAGCATATCCTGTTTTAAATAGGCCATAATAATTTAAATTTATTTTATTTCCAAAAGGCTTCTATTATGAGTGACATAAATGAAGCCATTACATAGGTGTGATAATATTGTGTAGAAATGTCTGTGATAGTATGCTTTTAAAAAGCAGACAGTATTTTAAAAAGTGCTTCAAACTAGTGAATTTTGTGTGCAATAAAATGAACACAAAGTACACTCCATTCCTTTGGTCATTGTTTTAAATGTTGTGGAAATTGATATAATGGCAATGGTATAGTGGTGTATAAAATAACAATTAATGTAATCACATACTTTATTTTAATAATTGTTGTTGTTGGCCTCTATTGTGAATGTAAATTACCCGTGGGTAACATATCCAATTATTTTCTTTTACTTGTTAAAATAACTCTTTTTTATGGTTAAATTTTTATTTAGAAAGAATGTCTAGTCAGACAAAGTTTTGTTAATTAAATATTTTAAAATTTATATAGTTTATAATATGTGCTGATTGCAGAACTAAAATCAATAAATTATGAGTTACCTATGTGTCTTCATTTGTAAGCTTAATTGGTTTAAACTTTAATGCCCGCCTTCCACTGCAAAAGAGTAAAGCAGAGTCCGCTGCGTATGCTCTTGAAAACTAGGTTTTGAACGGAGTCGTCTTGCAAAACTTTGTACATTCGTAATAAATCTCCTTTTGCGGGCCTTCCTCGAATGTGATTATTGATCCAAAATCTTGATTTGCGCCGGATATGCTTCTTTTTATTGTGATACAATAGTAAGATTTTACTAACCATATTAATATAATCTTGTTCACTAGAAGAATCTGACATAGTGAAATTCACAAAAACGTCATGATGCTATAACGGGCTGCCCAATACTAGTGTTCAGTTCCCCGCTCGCAAAAGCACGCACAACCTCGCTAGATGGAGCGGGAACTAGGTAGAAAATGAACAGAGTAGGCGTTCATTTCCCGCTTCTCGCTCAGCCTAGTTGACCTCGTTGTCAGTACAAGGCGAAATAAATTATTTTAAAAACTATTATAATTTCAAACTCCGTCGCCGGTCAACTATTCCTTGCTCAACACTTACGCATTGGAAGGCGGGCATAAGTCACAACGTACTACGTGTATATTACAGAGGCAAAGCCAGAAACAATTAAAACATAACATTGTCTCTGTTCATATACACCACACCACAGTGAGCCTCAACGGCGTTTTGAGCGGCTATCTGGCTCTCTTTGTCTCATCTGCAACTGTATGTCGCCAGGTTTGCTTGGGATTGCCACGCATTCGTTTTCCCTGTGGGTTCCAATGGGGATTGGAATCTCTTCAGAGTGTATATATACATATATGAAACTTATCAATCTTTATACATTTGAGGTCATGCTTAAAACATTTAAGTTAAACTAAGTACTTTATAAATAATGGGGCAAAATAAAAAGCCTAAGTTAAAGTTATGTTTATTGTACTAATGCTAGGTAGGTCACATGATATTCACAGGTAATACAGAATTTGAAAGGAAATTGACATTTTGGTAACCTTAAACAATACAGTTGACACAAAATATAAATAATTAATAATTATTGCTATTCATAGCAAGTAGTAATTTTTTGGATACATTTTATTAATCTTAAAAACTGATTACCAAATGTATTGTAAAGATTAAAAATGTTCCACTTAATAAATCTATTATTATACATAGATACAAAAAAAGTATTAGTAAACAAGTGATTTTGAATGTTGCAACTGGTACTTTTATGGCTAGAGCTTTAATGTTTAAAATGAATAAATTGACTTAAAAAATTTCCCAGTAGAAAGAAATGGTGCAAAAAACTTGAACCACCAGGAAGTATAGAAAAAGTAGTAATTATGGTCTCGTACAAAACCACAACCATTCTTTAGTTACATTCTGTTTGGGACCTGAGTAGCCTTAATTAGTATCACTTGCACTTACAAATTGAGTTGAGATTTTTGAGTTTCTTACATATTCAATCGTGTCCATTTGTCTTTGCATGGGGCACATTGCCGTTAAGTAACGGAGTTGAGTTTGTTTGTCTGATGGTCTTCTGCAAGACGTGAGCGTCGGCTGGCTCTATTCTTTTATAGTAGTGTTCCTTTGTTTCAACAATCTCAAAGCCAAACTTTTTGTAAAAGTCTATTGCACTCTCATTATTCACCTGGACATGTCTGTAATGATAGAATAAAACATTTAAAACTATTTCTTGATCAAATCCACATTTACAGAAGTTATTTTTTTTAAACTGTTTTATATAACACTTATGTTCTTATATAACAGCATCCATGTACAAAGTAAGCAGTAGGTAGACATTATATGCATCTAAAACATCTGAACTCCAGTGATCGTGCATAGGAGTAAATTTTTCCATTCTCATTGTCTTATCTATAAATTCTTTAACTCCATTGAATGTCAGTCAAAGATTATCTAGCGTATAGCAGTCAAAGATTTTTATTGGTATGCATTGACTCTGTCATAAATGTATATTGAAAGCACAGGCACAACTCTAGCACAACTAATTATAATGTCTCCAAAATTAAACACTCATGTTATATCTAGACTGTTTTGTAGAAATTTAATAAACTTTATTTTCATGGTTTTAAGCAGCATATGTGCAGAAAACACAGTAAAGTTATATATTTTTGTGAGATTGTTTTATTAAAGAGGTTATAGTTCTAATTCCAAAATTTATTTAAATCGGTTCAGTCCAAAGCAGCAGGTACAATGCAGGTTAAACCATTGAACAATGTGATATGAAATAAGTTTCTACAGTTGTTAAAAGAAAAACCTGTTATGTTCATAATTTAGAGTAAAATCTAGCACAATTAAACTCACCATCTTTGATGAGGGAACATTTGGCAAAATCAAATACCCATATTCTTATCTAAAGATCACACAATGCATAAAATAATAATAAGGGAACCTACATTTTCAGCATTAGCAGGTTATCTACAGCTATGCATAAGGTTATATAGATTTATATAACTTAAACTAACACCTAGCAAGATCAAAGTGAAGTAGCATTGCTGTGGATACAGAGTACTTACAGAAAAATACTATCAAAATTTCCATCGTGTTCCACGTATTTAAGCACATGCTCCACCATAAGAGTGCCAATACCTAGTCTTCTGTATGGATATAAACAACCAAGAGTCATAATATACAATCGCCTTGAATTCTCCGATGTGTCTATTCTGCAGCACACGGCTCCAACCACAATATCGTTGTAATATGCAAGTTTCGCTAGTTCTCCAGCCTCCAATACATCCTTGTAGAATTTGTCATTATAAGAAACAGGAAATACAACGGTGTTCAACTTCTTCAATTGCTTAATATTATGCGGAGTCACATCGCCGAGTTCTATTTTAGCTCTGCAATAAAGGCACATTATTACTTATTTGATGTAACCACAAGTGAACGCGCATGAGTTTCACGATTTAAAAGAAGATAACTTTTAAAAAAGGGCAATATTTCCACAATTTGGCAAATGCACCAATAATTACCTAGTCATCTTTATAACTATGTTTTTACACTAAAATTTATTAACTAATCTTTTATCACACTAGATCACTCCCGCCATCTACTGTTCCCTTTTCTTTCCTCCTCTTTGGGCCCTCGAGTTCGAATCTCAATTTTTATTTTTCTAACATTTGAAATGTATGTCAAGCTAACATTGACATCTACAGAGTATAGAAATGAGAGTAGATTAAACTAGACCCTAGGTAAAGTGTTTATATGCAAAGTGAAGTAGGAAGATGTATAGACATACTATTTTCCTAGCTAAATCTCAAGCACTACGGCTTGTACTGGCCGATCCACACATTGCGTTACATTTATGAACATAAATTAAATAAATCTTAGTCTGAAAAATTCTTAATTTTTCAAAAATCATATTCGCAAACTAGCCCTAATAGCTTGCCCGGCACGACGTAGTCGGACTTATGTTAATTATTGTTATATACAGCGACAAAGATGAAAAATCTATCTTTACTCCTTCCTCATTCAGTAACGAGTTAGTGTTTCTGTTATCGTCTCTCGACATCATTTTAACCTATACGAATTCAATATCGTCGTATCGCTTTTATGTTCACCTATAATATTATTCAAGACCCAATCCACAGATTATTTAGAAACCTCACCGCCTCAGTCCTTTATTCTTCTCCATGTAGTTTTTATTGTGTAGTAAAAATAACCAACAGGGGTTTGTAGAATTAAAAAAAAAACTGTATTTTAAAATCACTCATATAAGAAACATATTATGTAAAATATAATTGTCAAGGGCAAATTTATTTATCGGGAGTAAATACATTACAAAATTTTTTCCTGTGCTTATTACATTATTTTTTTTTTAATTGTTTACAAAAACCTACTCAAAGAGAACGCGCGAAATTTAAATTCATTACAGGTTTCATTTGTTTTCTGTCACATTTATTTTAAAGCTATTAATGCGCAAATTGTAGTTTTAATCTTCAAGTATTATTCTTATTTGAACGAAAAATGTTATTAAATAAAATACAGTGCTCCCAGTTATTTCTTCGAAAGTACTGCCATTATTTTGAAAGAAGACTACATGTTCAAGTAACAACGTTCCAAACTGTTAAGACTTTGCAAATAAGCGATGAGGAACCAGCTAAACATCCAATAACTGGTCTAGCAACTAATAAGTCAGCGGGAGATATTTTTCCGGCCCCAAGAGTGGTTCCAATGGTACTATCTAAGGACCCCGTAGTCTTACCTTTTGATGACGTACCTGGACCAAAATCTTTGAAATATTTATCTAATATCCGGCACTATATATCTGAAATAGGAACCCAACTCACAGCTACGCTGTTGACAACTGGTCTCAACATCAGTATGTTGTTTTTTTAAATTTACTAAACTTAAATCCATCATAGCATATCACATAATTAACTTATCTCACTAGGTTCTTACCTAAGCAAGCGGACGTCCATACAGAATTTGTCTTCTCTTTTCGACGATTATGGCCCGGTGGTGCGATTTGTTAGTCCAGTAGGTGGTGACATAGTACTTCTTAACCACCCTGACCATATACGTAAAGTGTTTTCTTTGGAGGGTGATTATCCAGTGCGGTCAACTTTGGAGTCACTCGAGAAATATCGAATGGAACACAGGAACCATGCTTATGGAGGTATCTATACTGTGTAAGTATATACTTGTATAACGGCATAACCCAGATTAAAAATGAAGAGATCTCTATATAATTTAATAACAAATTAATATCTTAATTCTCCTCGGCTACATCGAGGGCTGGTTATCGACTAAATAAAAGGCAAAATAAAATAAAGTAGCATATTGTTTTTAATCGACTTCAAAAGGAGGTTTATAATTCGACAAGTGTTTTTTTTTTTAAAACTGAACTATATTATATTCTGTCAGTCACGGTCTGGAATGGGTCCGCCAAAAATCAATAATGGAAAGGCCGCTTCAAAGTGCCAGCACCCACTATGCTTCTTCAATATACGAAACGTGTGATAAATTCACCCAGAAGATATACAACTTGCGAAACTATCAGGATGAAATATCAAAAGATCTCTACAAGGAGATACACAAATGGGCTTTTGACTGTATGGGTATGTCATAATTATATTATTTAATTGATTCAAATGTTAGGACAAATTCCACTTCATGAAAGGTTTTTAAAAACGTCTGACTATCACCTGAAAGCTCAGAGTATAGGCAAGATACTTCAGAGAAGATGGCGTCCATCCAAACCAATTAATTTCATTCGTTAGCAAATATAAGTTGTAATCGGCTATAGTTGCGTGTCCATGAAAATAGCCATTATAACTGTGTAACATGATTAATGTCGAAATCCAGGCGTGTTGATATTCTCGAAGCAGTTTTCGATGATAGACACCGAGGTGGTGTACAGTCAGTGCGACAAGTCGTGGATGTACCATTGCCTGGAGCAAGCGACCGACGCGTTAGACAAGTGCGAGTCTGGCCCACATCTGTGGAAGTTGTTCACCACTCCCGCCTGGTACAAACTCGTCAAGTACTGCGATAATTTGGACCAGTCAGTATTTTTATGCTAAAAATAAGATATGAATCCATTTATGGAATGTACTGTTTTTTGCGAATGAAATACAAAGATACTTTAATTAAATATTGTATATATGTTAACGTAAAATTGTAAACACCGTTAGATTGTAATCTATCTCGCGAGATTATAAACTGTCGAAAGATTGTGAACCACAGCGTACTGCTTACAATTTTACGTATTATTATTCGGTAGATTGTAATCTATCGAAGTGAAACCGTCAAATTGTGAAACGGATCGCACCTCGCGCGCTGAATTATTAAAATGAATTGATTAGAAAAATTAATGAAATTTTCTTTTATTTCATTTCCAACACTAACTTAGTTATCATTCGAACTTCTTTGGTCAATCACAGATTAATTTAACTTCCCAACAATTTTATATAACTAATTCTAAAGCTGTGAGTTACTTTCAACACGACATCAATTTACATTCATCAAAACAATCAATTTACATTCGACAACAAACGAATTAAGAAACAAATATGGTGGCGCGGGGCATATTCCGTTCAACCAATCAGCGCGCGAGGTGCGATCCGATTCACATTTTGACGGTTTCACTTCGATAGATTACAGCCTACCGAATAATAATACGTTAAATTGTAAGCAGTTCGTTGAGGTTCACAATCTTTCGACAGTTTACAATCTCGCGAGATAGATTACAATCTAACGGTGTTTATAATTTTACGGTGACATACATTTTGCAGTTTAATCGGAAAACATGTATTGGAGGCTGATCGAGAACTTTCTGGGAAATCCCCTGACGCAAGTGAGTAAATACGATCCTTCAGTAACTTCTGCCGCAACATATCTACATATACATTTAGTAAGAAATGAGTTATAATATGGGCTGAATTGATATCAGGTGAATGAATGGAAATTTCAAAAACGCGGGTAATTTCAGTAAAATGAAAAGTGACACCATTGTTTTATAGGTTCACATTGTTTAATGAATGCAATTTTGCTAAGTGACAACCAATTATCTGCCGAAGACATAGCTACTATTTTGATGGACATGCTAATTATTGGTGTTAATACGGTATGGTATTTTATACTATACAATTGTAAAAGTAAGCACTTGGTTATGCAATTAGCGCTTAGTTCCCGAGTCACAAATACCTTATTTAAAACCTGAAAACAATCAGTGGAATGAATTGATGATTAAACCTAATAATGTATAATACGGTACCCAAAATCATAAAAATTATAATATAGAATGTTGTAAAGTTGATTAGTGTTTACGTAGTTACATTGTTACATAAAATAATAATAAATTAATTTCCACACATTTTACAGATTGCATCCTCTATGTCATACCTTCTATATTACATCGCAAGATATCAAAAAGTGCAATATCTTCTTTACCAAGAAATTGAGAACATGTATCCTAATTTAATAATTGATGACATTACTAAGCTTAAGGAGAATACCCCATATTTGCAGGCTTGTATAAAGGAAACTTTAAGGTAACATCATATTAGTTACTTTAAAATTTGCAGTTTATTTGTAAGGTCTGAAGCTCCGAGACTCCTAGAGTCTAAACCAAATGCAATTAAAGAGTTACAGCTACTATGTACAATCACTTCACATAATGGTTAATTGTAACTGGAAATATCACAAAATAGTTAGAATAGAAAATTTAGAATTTATTATTATAAACAGCTAAATACATGACTAATGGTTTTTTTATAGAATTGTTCCACCAATACCTTTAATCTCTAGAATACTCCCAAAAAATATTACATTGGATCGATACAAGTAAGTACTTAATTCTAACTGGTATTACTTTGACAATTGAGTTTAGAGACGTGTTCAAAAATACTTTTTGCAGTATACCAAGAGGGACTCTAATAATTATGTCTACTCAAGAAGCCTCACTCAAAGAGAGCAACTACGATGATGCTAAAAAGTTTAACCCAGACAGATGGATACAGACAGTCCATGACTACCATGCCTTTGCCTCGGTCCCATTTGGATTTGGTTCCAGGAAATGTTTGGGACAAAATATTGCTGAAACTATGCTCTCACTGCTAACTATAAGGGTAAGAATTATAGATATTATTAGACACATACAGACAATAGATATCATAATGGAGAAACTGAGAGCAATTTCAATGTTTTTTTACAGGTGTTGCAGAAATACAAATTAGAACATCATTATGGAGAAGTGCAACCAACCCGACGCTTCATATCAAAACCGAGCAAGCCACTTAAAATAAGATTTATTGATAGAATGTAATATTGCAATATTTTTATTATTTTGGATATAAATAAATACATTTAAATGGTATTAACTTATCTATAAAATTAGCACAATAAACAAAAACATAACATAACTTCCTAATAAAACAATATGTTACAAATTTTAGTTATGATCTAAGGCATCTATCAACTATCAAATGAGCTGCACTTCATGGCCGGTTTTTCCTTGAAAATATATTTAAATACTTCCCTCTGGTCATCTCTTTCGCCTCTTCCAATCCAAGTTGATAAGCTACATCATGCAATTTCTTTACCTCCATTATAAGGCCAATGGTTGATAGTGATCCTAATTCTGAAAATATTAAATTTCTATTAATAAAATTAAATATTAATTATATATAATGGGACGAAATATTCTAATATGTATTATATTTTTTTATTAATCATCAACCTAACTGAAAAATTCGAAAGGCTTACGCTGTATAAAGTTCATATCATCTTTCGTCAGGCCGCTGTTCCACGATGGTGGCGATTGACTAGGGCTTTGAAGTGGTGCAAATTCCGACACACCAGGAACTACAAAAGAATCATTAGAACATTGTGCAATATCCTCTTTAACAGAATAGCTTTTATTCTCTTCCATTTTAAACGGAAATGTTTAAAATGCGATCGTTACAAAATTATATGCCAAAATATAGATAATCTAAGCACGTTTAAGTGGGAGAAATGACAACTTAAAAATTACTAGTCACACGGCAACACCCGCCACTTTCAAATAATCACCAATCGCAATAAAAACATAGTCTTAAGTTACGCTTTGATGCTTGAACCCTGACATAGCACATATTAGTATTTTCCTTACTTTGTTCAGGCCATAACTCTGGTGATGCCCGATCAAGTTTTTCAAAACTAAGAAGGCTTTCCTCTAAACATGTCAAGGGAATATCAGCGGAGGCTGTTTGTTCTGAAAATAGTCCTTATATTATAACCGGTAAATAACAATATTTATTATAAAGTACTATTTAAAAAACGAACTAATTTTATAATTGCGGAGTGGTGTTATCAGAACTGCCAAATCTAATAAAATAATAATTTTACCTGCACTTGATTGAGAAGTTGGTTTCGCGGCCATTTTCTAAATATTTATGATTAAATTATTGACATTTCCTACTTGACACTTTCTACAGATTAAACAAGTATTTACACAGTACGGCATAGAGTATGCTCACAACGGCCTCAAATGGTGCGTTCCACTAAGCGCTCACGACGATCAAAATGCTCCTTTAGTCATTCCACATACCGACCGCGGTCGTTGTGGTCACGGCGAAAACGTCACTCATGACGTCATGACTAATGCTCACGCAACGCTCACAACGACCCATCTAAAGAGGTGGGTCGTTGTGAACGTTGAGAATAATTTGACGCAATTTTTGAATTTTTTTTTTAAATATGACAAATAATAATATTATTATATTCAAAGCTTAAAATTGGCGACAAGAAAAATCACATTATTTGATTCAGAAAGAGAAATTGTTGTAGATGCTATCAACAAATATAAAAAAAATTAAGTAATAAATAAATAAAAAAAAAAAGTAAAAGTTAAATTTGGTATTAATAAATTTAAGTCACAAACATCAAAACTTATTGTTTATGATTACCTAACCTCCTTAAAATTCTACTATTTTCAAACTTGACATTTGTAATATTTACATGAACGCCCGAAACGCTCCATAATCCATTCCACTTGAGTTAACGACAGTAACATTCACAATTAAGTGGAATGTGGAAATCAGCGGTCGTGAGCGTGAGCGTTGTGAACGCTTAGTGGAACGCACCAAAAGTAATACGGTCTAATACCTGATTTTAAAAATGCACTTTATAACTTCTGAACAAAGATTATTTCTACAAGAAATAATCGCCGCCTTCGTCTTACTCCCTAAACGTTAATTATTCGTTTGAAAAAATAAGTAGATTCGTAAAATTAACCATAGTCTATGATCAAAATACAAGCTTGCCAAGTTTGACAAATTACTTAGCTGTAGCTACATTTTTTTTTCTCTGTCTTTCTTCCGGTTGCCAACACAAGGCAAGGTGAGTGTTTTATGTTGTGCCTCGTGGTTTTTGATAAATAATTAAAAGTGATTCTAATAAAGTGTGTGTCTTGGCATCGTTTAACGCATCAAGGTAAAATATGTGAACATATCAATCAATTTGTATGTATTAGTCAAAGCTGGAGATGTTGAGTCGTATACCACCGTGGGTACCGCGAGTGTACTCTCTTTTTTTAAGAGTTACGGAAATTGAATTCATATAAAATGTAATTTTAGTTAAACGTTCGGTAAAATAATTATAACAACTTATCTTTACGATAGAATGCCTGACAAAAGGGTTTAACAGACCTAACCTCAATCTGTCGTGCTAGAACGTATGAACTAAGTATTGATTCACGGTTCTGCCTGAACTTATTAACATATTTTATTGATTTGTCAACGATGTTTGTCTTAGTATATATAATATATAAAGTACTCGACTTTTACTATATTAAAAATCTTATGGCACTTATTTCTCTTTTCCAGATGAGATCCGTTGCATTGAAAGATGTTGAACAAGACAAGGTCGTCAAGACCGTTGCTTTCCACTTAAAGAAGTAAGTGTTTCATGTATACAAATATGATTTGTAATGTTTTGAATTTATACTTACCTTTTTCATAAATTAATATATAATAAACTTATTACATTTCACATATAGGAGTCATACTTGACGCTGTCTTGACTCTGAATTATACCCCTACTTTGTGACACCTTCGACCAATCCCAATCTTCTGTCAGTAATTTTTATCATGGAATTGCTATTTAATCATCTCTTTCTTTTACCACATATTTATATATCATTGTTATATAGCAACCTCATCAGCAATTGACAACTTTTTCAGAATTGGCAAGGTTAAGGTGCCAGAACATATGGACTTAGTGAAGACAGGTCGTTTTAAAGAGCTAGCTCCTTACGACCCTGACTGGTTCTATGTCCGATGTGCTGCTGTTTTACGCCACATTTACATTAGATCTCCAGTTGGAGTCAAGACCGTCACTAAAATCTTTGGTGGTCGAAAACGTAATGGTGTCACTCCTTCACACTTTTGCAGGTAACATACAATATATTTGAAATAATATTTAAGTTAATGAAAGGATTATATTTAGGTTTGGGTCATTAGAAACTCGTTTTTCGTTTTTTTCGAAGTTTGAGCAAGTAATGCTTTTCTATGTCAAGTAAAATAGGAACTTAACAACCACACATTTTGCTTGTTTTCAATCTATTTCACTTTAAATTTTCCATAATTTAAGATTGATCAAAATTCTTTCTACTCCATAACTACAACTAATTTTAACTCAATATACATAAATTATACATTCCATTAATATGTGACTTTTTTTTTACGCCAATAATTCTGTTCTTGAGTATTCCTTCCCTAACATTATTAAAATTGTGATTTTTCAGATCATCTGGTAGCATCGCACGTAAAGCACTCCAAGCTTTAGAAGCCCTCAAACTTGTAGAAAAGGTCCCTGATGGTGGTCGTATCCTTACTGTGCAGGGAAGACGTGATCTTGACAGAATTGCTGCACAAGTCCGCCACAAGGCCAAACAACAAGCTAAGCAACAAGTTCTTGTTCTATAAATAATGTAAGAATAAATCTTAAAAAATACCCAACATGTCTATTTATTTTCTGGCATTTGTTGTTCTCTTAGTATTATTATTGTACCTTTAACCCTTAACCAAATAGATTTTTTTTATCAGAATAATTAAAAGTGGACAAATTTTTTGGGTAAATAGGGTCTGTAGATTCTGAAAAAAATATCTTATTTTTTATAAAATGGGGGGTTTGCAGTGGGAAATTATTTCCCATTATCTGTAATAGCTAAGCAAAATTTAATCAAGTGGGATATTATTTCCCACTATCTGGCACGGATCTCAACTTTTGACACATTTTTACTTAAATTTGAAACATACAAAGCAGGGGCCCCTGCTTTGCTTTTTTTAAATTTTATTGAAAATGTGACTAAAGAAAGCTATGACATTAATTAAAACTTTTGTGTGTTTAAGACCCACAAGTAAAAAACAGAAATTTATCAGTATTTTTAGACGAGTTTTTTTATCAAGTTTTAGGAAAGTGTTGAAGTAACGCATTGAAATTCACAGGTTAAATTCAAATGGCGTTAGTGTCGACTGCCATTGTCATTATGTCACAGAGCTCATAAATTAACATCAAAGTTAAATTTCAAGTCAGTTTAAACTTCAAAACATGTAGTTTATTTGATTCGCCAATATTTACATTTAATAGATCTACAAATAAACTATTAATTTTATGTCAATAATAATTTCGTAGTCATTATTTTCAAAAGTAACTAGTAAGTAGTTTTTTTTTGAGCAGTGTAACATATATTATGAACGTTAAAAAGAAATGTATATGAAATGCTTCTTACTTTACATTTAGTGCCAGTTCTCAAATCAAGGCGTAGAACGGAAGAGAAGAACTGGCAATAAACTCTCCGCCACTCTTTTTTAATCAGGATAAGTTCAGAATAATGTAGGTACAATGGTTCTATAATAGCTTTAGCACATTTTTTAATATTAGGTCCTTACATATGAAATTGGCGTATTTCGTACTGGCCACTTTAATCACGACGTTCTCCTCTTTGGTAAGAATTCCAAATTCAAATTTGTACAGTGTGAATGTGTAAATGTGTACTATTTACTCATGTATTTGTGCTTCGATGACCGTCATTCATTTGTTTTTTTCTGTTTGCGTCACTCATTTAACAAAATGGAAAACTTAAAGTATCGCATTATTTACGAGTACGAGTTCCGCCGTGGCTCTAGTGCTGCGGAAACGACTCGAAGGGTGAATGATGTGTATGGCGGTCATGTTGCAAAAGAAAACACAGTTCGTTTTTGGTTCCAACGTTTTCGTTCTGGAAATTTCGACATGCAGAACAAGCCCCGTTGACGGCCTGAGACCCAAGTTGATAATGAAGTATTGAAGGCTATTGTGGAAGCGGATCCATCGCAAACCACGTCCGAGTTAGCTGCAGGCTGCGGTGTTAGTGATAAAACTGTTTTAATTCACTTGAAGCAAATTGGGAAGATTAAAAAGCTTGAAAGATGGGTACCTCACGAATTGACTGAATCAAACCGGCAAACGGGCGTCGACTGCTGCGTTACATTACTGAACCGGCACAATAATGAAGGTATTTTAAGCCGAATCATTACCTGTGATGAAAAATGGATTCTTTACGATAATCGGAAGCGATCAGCGCAATGGTTGGATCCTGGCCAGCCAGCCAAATCCTGCCCCAAGCGAACCCCAAAAAAGTTACTTGTAAGCGTTTGGTGGACTAGTGCCGGTATTGTTCATTGCAGTTTTCTAAAATCTGTCCAGACTATTACGGCTGATGTCTATTGTCAGCAATTGCAAACCATGATGGAAAAGCTAGCGGCTAAACAACCTAGGCTGGTCAATCGCTCCACGCCACTGCTACTTCACGACAACGCTAGACCACACACTGCACAACAGACGGTTACCAAATTAGAAGAGCTTCAATTGGAATGTCTAAGACATCCTCCGTACTCCCCGGACCTTGCTCCAACAGATTACCATTTTTTTCGAAATTTGGACAACTTCTTGCAAGGGCAAAAATTTTACTCTGATGGGGCAGTCCAAATCGCCTTCACAGATTTTATTGATTCCCGTTCGACTGGTTTTTTTAGTAAAGGGTTCAATGAACTACCTATGAGATGGCAAAAGTGCATAGAAAACAATGGTTCATACTTTGATTAATTAAATATATTATATTTAAAAATATTCGACTTTTTGTTCCTCCCATACAAAACGCCAATTTCATATGTAAGGCCCTAATAAAAATAGGTGGTATACCGTCACTACCAGCTCCTTTACATTTAATCAATTTAGTATTTGGGTTGGGGTTGATATCCATGCGTTGGAATTTGATGATACTGATTATGCAGGAGTCTCGGGGACCCTTGATTGGAACACCTCCAAGTGATTTTAGCTTTAGGATAAGCGTCAAAGTATTTTAAAAAAATTTTTTTAACTTTTGTCAATTGTATTGAAATTATAAACAATCCGCCATTATCTAACTACTTTTCTATTGGTTATAAGAGATGTGACATTCTCGATTTCTATTGGTTATAAGTGATGTGTCATTGTCGTTTTCTATTGGTTATAAGTGATGTGACATTTTCGGTAAATTAATTGGATCTATTATTTTCTCATTTGTTATTTTTAAAGTTGAACCTAATCGAATCGATTATTTCCTCATTTGTTAATTTTATAGTTGAACCTAATTTAAGCATTACTTGTCAAATGTACATACATTACATTAACTTCATGTTTTAATTAATGTATGGTTCCGAAAATTATTAAATTATTCAAATAGTACCCAAAACCGAATCAGAGCACCCCACTATCCACGTGGTCTTGTCTGCCTTACCCCTAGAGTGTATATAAATAATCGGAGGCGCGGAGGAAGAGCAGCCCCCACCCGCTGTAACAAAGCACAGGCATTATGAAAGCTGTAGCGGCTGAGGCTGGTCGCCAGAGGCGACACCAAAAAGCCGAGGTTGCGGAGGCTTGAATAAAATGCCTGTGCTTTGGTACGCAAGGGTGGAGGGGCTGCATTTCCCGTAGCGCCGGAGCTGTCCACAAAAACAAATATTATTTAGATTGGTTAGGTTAGAGTTAGTATATGAATATTTGGTCGCCGAAGGCGACCAGGACGCGACCGAAGCCGAGGCTTGAATAAACAATTACTATTTAGATCGGAGCTGTCCACAAAAACAAATATTATTTAGATTGGTTAGGTTAGAGTTAGTATATGAATATTTGGTCGCCGAAGGCGACCAGGACGCCGAGAAGCCGAGGCTTGAATAAACAATTACTATTTAGATCGGAGCTGTCCACAAAAACAAATATTATTTAGATTGGTTAGGTTAGAGTTAGTATATGAATATTTGGTCGCCGAAGGCGACCAGGACGCCGAGAAGCCGAGGCTTGAATAAACAATTACTATTTAGATCGGAGCTGTCCACATAAACAAATATTATTTAGATAGGTTAGGTTATATAAATATTAATATACTAACCGTATATTAATATTGTTTTTAAATAACTGTTCAACTGAAACTCGAAATCGAAAACAAAATCGGATTTAAAATCGGATTCAAAATCGAATACTAAAATAATCGATTTTTTCACTTTCACAGAATAGATTATTTTTCACATCTCTATTCTCTACTATTCATTGTTTAAAGTATAAACGCAATCGGCCATTTCGAATTTGGATTTTGCCAGAACAGTGTGTGTTCACAGTATTCAAGTGAAAAATATCAGTTAAAAGCCGTTACTTTTTTAGATTTTTTTATTTTGGTTTCCTAAGCCCAAAATTTGTGGGGGGTGATTACTACACCCTCCCCTCCCCTCCCCCCCCCGCACCCCAAATTTAGGGACTTCTCTCTCACATCTTTACCTAGTATTTTCAATATATCAAATTTGGTTATATTTAGTTTGCATATAATGACGGTTACTTCGTTATTAATGAAGGTGCTGCTTTTTTAAACACACTTTCAAAGTGTTGGTGGGTTGTTTCAAACCAATTGCTATCGTAACTTACGTTCGTTAAAATTTGACAGACACGTATGAACTTTAACGTGTGTTAACTTGTTAGCGTTGCTTCATTGTTAAAAAATGAGTTCGTCATTGTTAATGGGGTTGCCCGTTTGCGTAACGCTATTTTGACCTAATGTTTTTAGGAATTATTTTTTAGTAATAACAACATTGATAAAAACAATGTCATTTGAAACATTCTGTCAACCAGCGCTTCCAGATTCACTGTAATTACAGTAGATTTACTGTATTTTAGACTTTTCTACTGTATACTGTAATGATAAAATACAGTGTATGAAAATACTGTATTTAATTTCCGTTCATATAAATTATCAAATTTAATACGTAAAACGTATTAGAAAATACGAAATATAAATTTGCAACCTAATCTAGAACCCAGAACCACTGACCTTCATCTATAGACAATGTAGAGTAGGATTGTTACCTACATATTATAGTTTACGTGCGGGGAATTCCCCAATGAATCAGAACTAACGCTTAGCAAAAACTAACCGTCTCTGTCTGACATAGCAACATTGTATTTTCCATCTCATTCATTACGTTTTGATTGGTATGGTTTTATTGCTTTGCTACTGTAGCGAGCGCCGAGCAAATACATTTATTTCAGATTAAGACTTTTTAATTCTTGTGGATAGCGTAAATTAAACCAAAACGATATAATTGTAAAAATGGGCTCAAGTAGTGAAGAAGGTGATGTTCGTGGCGCTGCTGGTCCGTCAAGTGCAAAAAAGAAATATCGGCAACAATTTCGAGAGGAATGGCTTAAAATCCAAGACTTTCATAAGTGGCTAAAACCTGACAAAAAATCTGCTTATAAATGTTTTTGCACTGTCTGCGATTCTTCATTAACTGCCGATCTAGGTGCTATTAAAAGACACGGTGAAGGTGCTAAACATAAACTTCGTTTTCCTGGGCAATCGTATGTGCGTACCATTGATAATATTTTTAAGAGTCAGCAACGTGTAAGTGATGAT